GGCGCTGCCGGTCCCCGGGCTGCTGGTGGAGGCTCGGGGCAGGATCACGTCGTAGGGACCTTCGCTCTGCAGGGAGAGATGTGGGGAAGGGGCTGTAGTGGCACTAAGAGAGACCCTGGAGCACCTTCCAGTACCTGAAAGGGCTCTAGGAATGCTGGGGAGGGGCTTTTGACAAGGACAGGGAGTGATAGAGTGAAGGGAATGACTTTAAGCTGAAAAAGGGAAGACATTAGGAAGAAATTCTTCCCTGTGAGGATGGTGAGACCCTGGCCCAGGTTGCCCAGAGGAGCTGTGGCTGCCCCATCCCTAGACATGTTCAAGGGCAGGTTGGATGGAGCTCTGAGTAACTTGATCTAGTGGGAGGTGTCCCTGCCCATGCAGGGGTGTGGGACTGAATGGTCTTTAATGTCCCTTCACATCTGAGTGGGTCTGGAATCCTACAATTCTAGGCAGGTGAGGGGTGACACCCTAGGGTTACAGCATGGGGATGAGAGGAGACCCCAGAGTCCCCCATCCTGGCTGCTCCAGTTTAAAGCCCATCACCATTATGCAGGATGTGACCAGCCCTGGTGAGCATGGCTGATGCCACGAGGCATCACTCTTACCGGCCCCTTTTGCATCAGAGCCATCTCGGTGGGCTGGTAGACACTGGTCAGCAGTTGCCCGTTGTAGCCTTTGGGACACTGGCTTCTTGGCTGCAAAGAGAAAGGGATGCTGAAAAGGGAGGGGGGACCTCACACAGCCACCCCCACCCCACTGGGCAGCCGCTCCTTGTTAGCAGGTTTAATGAGCTTGACTCAGCAACTGGCGGCTCTGTGCCTTTCCTGGGGGACGGGAGGGATGTCCCCAAGGTTTGTGTCACCGCGCTCCTGGCACGGCCCAGGTTTGTTATTGTAGGGTCCCTCGGGAGCACCCACCCTGCCCAGGGGGCTGCAGGCACCTGCCCACCAGTGCCATTGGGGCAGCTCACACCACCCCGTGTTATTGTAGGGTCCCCTGGGGCAGTGGGCCCAGAGCTGCTGGCACCCTGTGCTGGGGAGGGAGCAACCCCTGCAGCTCAGCCCAGACTGGTAGACCCAGCCCAGCGAGTTTTTTTTTTGGGGAGCCAAAACAGCAGCAGGCGTCAATCCTGGGCGGGTCATGGCCAGACGTCTCACCTCCCACCCCGCTGCTGCCAGCCCTGGTGAGCCCTGGTGAACCCCAGCACCCGCCCCAGTGAGCTCCAGTGAACCCCAGCACACACCCCAGTGCCGGCTGCCAGGCCCTGTGAGCTCCAGTACTTACCGAAGGAGGGCTCATCCATGGAGAAGGCTTTGTTCTCCACAAACATACTCTGTGACTTCTGCTCCTTGAGGATTGTCTCATAGCCCACCCCACGTGTGGGGTAGACATCGTCCTCGAAGGCCTGCTCGGGGCTCCGCCGCGTCACGTGTGTCACCTCGGGGATGACGTAGAGGAGGAGGAAGGCGTAGGCGTTGGACACCAGCGCGATGGCCAGCGTGGGGTCATCCCAGCTGGGCTTCTCACCCATGCGCCGGTTGCCGTAGAGGTACATGGCCATCCACGCCACCCAGATGGCCATGGAGAGGCCAGTGGTGGACAGGATGAAGGCTCCGTGCTTGCGCCAGGGGGCGGC